AGAACACCAAATAAACTTTGCCAGGGATTGGTGTCAGCTAAAGTACTTGCAACAAGACTTTGTGGAAGTTGCTTTAGATTCTGATCAGTAAGTTAAGTGTATTCCTTGCACCCACCTGCCCCCAAATATTTGTGAAATTATTTCCATATTCCTCTACCCAAGTAGGGGCAGTTTGTGCCCAGTTTTGATTCAAGAAGACAGCAAAGGGTGGGGATTTTGATTAAGGATGAGTACCCTGGAGAGAAGTGGGGAGGAAGAAACTGCCCTCATCCCATCTCTAGGGCTTGTCCTCCCTTTGTCCTTGGAAGCCAGGCACACTGTCAGTTCCCTTCAAAAGGATACATAGAATTGCTAAGATCTTCAAGCTGTCAACAGAAAGAGGGAGGTTTCTGTTAGTCGGGACCGGATGGAACTCCCCATGCTCTGGGGGCTTCTGGTATGGATGGAGGGGCTCGCAGCTTTTGGATCCATGCAGCCCCTCCTTTTCAGCAGAGACCAAGAATGGCTTTGGGAAAATGTATCTCTCCCCTCCCCAGGTTCCCCCAGGACTCTAAGACCCCAGCTTTGTGACCCACATTGCTGAGCAGCTGGTCCAGGTTGCGGTCGGCCATGGTCTTTTTCTGTTCCTCTGGAAGCCTCTCAGTGACTCCGTCCTCCTCCTCCTCATCGTCCTCCTCCCTACACACATCCAGACTGAAGTGCAGTCGGGCCAGCTTCTCTTGCATCTCTCGCACGTGCTCCAGCTGCTCGAAGGAGCATTCCTTCCCTGGACAATGTCTGTCTGAGCCTTGGGAGTGGGCTGGGACCTGGCCGCAGCCGTACCCCAGAGACCAGAACAACCAGCCCCATCCAGCCCCCTCTCTTCCCAGCCCAAGACTCACCAAAGGCCTGGAGCTTGCCGGAGTGGAAGTCATTGAGCAGATTCAGCAGTCCCCCCTCCATCTCGTAGACATCAGTCACCTCGGTCAGGAAGGAGTGCTGCAGGGGTGTGCCTGCAGGGCCACCACTGCCACCCGCCAGCACTGGGCGGCATTTCTCCTTGCCAGCTCTAGATAGGATGGACATGACCGTGGACATAGGGTAGAAGGGCAGCTAGGCGCTAATTCATCTCCCCATCTACTCTGCAACATGTGTTGACGTGTGCTCTGGCTCTGCCCTGGGGACCAGTGGATAAAGGGAGGGGAGTGAGTGAGAGGTGTAGAGGGGTAAGAGATTAAAAGAAAAGAAAAGAAAAAAAGCTTTTCCTCTAATGATAGCTCAAACCATGCCTGCAAGGGCACTCCTGAGTATGGGGTCTTGATATGTAGGCCAGGGTGGTCTTGAGTTCACTATGTAGCCCAAGCCAGCCTTAAACGTGGTGGGGAGCCTCTGGCCTCAGCCTCCCACGTGCTGGGATTACAGGTGTGTGCTGCCATGCCTGGTGGGCTCCTGAGTTTCTGAGCACCCCACTAATTGTGCTGTGATTTTGGATGCGTCACTCATCTCCCTTGATCCTCAGTGAACTTGGGATAACTATTCCTTTTTATTACCACCACAGCTATCTCACACATCCCCATCTTCCTGTTTCTATTGTAAAACCGTTTGAATTTTCCATTTCCTCAGGATACACAGAAGTCCTTGACGGTGTGGCCTTCCTTCCTTTCCAGCTGTATTTCCGACTGATCTCATCCCCACACCAAACTTTAGCTACACTCCCTTGCAGCTGTCTCCCCTCAGGCCTTTAGGGAGGTGGCATACAAAGCCACAGGAGAACATCTAGAAAAAGAAAAAAAAAAAAGAAAAAACACATTGGGGCTAGGGAGATGGCTCAGTAGAATAAGCACTTGCCTGGCAAGCACAAGGACCTGAGTTCAATCCCCGGTTCCGCCAAAAAAAGAAAGAAAGAAAGAAAGGCTCAGTAGAATAAGCACTTGCCTGGCAAGCACAAGGACCTGAGTTCAATCCCCGGTTCCGCCAAAAAAAGAAAGAAAGAAAGAAAGAAAGAAAGAAAGAAAGAAAGAAAGAAAGAAAGAAAGAACACATTGTATTTGTTGGGAACATGCATAGATATATTATAAAGTTGGATACAAATGCTCAGTCATTTAAAAAAATTCCAGCAGAGAATTCAAATTGTAGGGGCTGGTGAGATGGCTCAGTGGTCTAAAGCACCTACTTAGAACAAACTTAGCAAAGCAAAGGGACCATGGTTCAATCCCCCAGCACCACATGCCAGCCAGGGCCACCTCCTGGTGTGCTAAGCTGGCCACACACACACACACACACACACACACACACATAAATAAAATTAAAAAAAAAACACAAAATTCAAATTGTATGCCCAGATATCCTCCAACTATCTCTTGTTCACTGACATGTCAAGGTTCCCAGCCACCTGTTATTCCTAGATCTTCCAGGCAAATTCTTTCTTTGGTTTTTATGCCAAGGAAGTCTCCCACCCTAGAACATTCTTGCCTCTTCAGGGCTCCCAGCAGCTTCCTCCTGCTTGGAGTTCCTGGCACTTTGCTCATTTTCTCCTCCAAGGTTCAGCCTCACACTGTTCAATCCCAGTGACACCCCCTCCCCCCTGGCATTCAGCAATACATGTAAGGGTAGGCACTGGTGCTGAGTCATCTCTGAATGGTCAGGGGCCAGTTGGGGCCAGTGCTGGGGAAGACGTCAATTATTGCTTAGCAACTGAAGGCCCTCTCATTGCTTTCTTCCGTGTGGTACACACCCCAGAGCCAGAGGCCCTCTCCATTTGCCAACTTCCCTTCTTTACGCACCTCTTGAACTTGGCCCGCTGCTTGGGGGATGGCAGATGAGGGAGTCCCAGGGCCAAGGAGCCACTGTGGCTTGTGGGTACTGGGACCCTTCGAAGTGTGCTTGGCGCCTGGGCTGGCTGGGCCAGGCAGGGTTTGGGACTCCTTTTCTTCTTTTTGTCATCCATTGGATGCTGGCTGAGCCTCAGGCCTGGGGAAGAACCAACACCACTAAGATAGTGAGGGGGAAAGTCATCCCTCCACCCAGCAACCCCTGAGAGCCACAGAGAAAGGCACACTTGCATTTCTCACAAATGTCAGGGCCTCTGTCCCCTCATCTGCACAGGGCCAGATGCCAGTGCCTGCTGCTAGGTGCATGGGTGTGCATATAAAGGCCCTTCCAAGGCCCACCCTCTGTCCCTTGCTGCCTGGAAGCACCTGGTCCTAGTGCTGCTGGCAGTCCTGGCCCTGTGGCCGAAAGGGTGGGGCCGGAGAGGAAGTGGAGAGGAGGCGGGTTGGATGTGAGCTGGCAGGGCCCCAGATAAGGATTAAGAGTGTCCTCACTAGATCTCATTTTGTTTAGCAGATACCTTGGTAAATGCTGACCAATCTGTGGGCAGGACAAACAACCAGATGAGAATGGGGGCTCTGGGAAGGTCTCAGTGTAAAGCATTCTTTCCCTCACATTGATAAGTTTTTGGAGGAGAAGCCAGGCTACTACGCAGGGCAGGGCTCCCCCTTCCCTCTGTATCCCTCTTCTACTTCACTCCAAACTACAAATGCCAGGGACTCCCGGAAGCTCCCTGGCACAGCTCCTAGCTGTTCACTCTTGCCAGTGAGAAAGTCCCTGGGGTGGGCGGTTAGGCAGCTGGCAGGCTGGGCCTCCAACAATGGCTGTACCGTGGCTGGCACTGCTTGGCTGGCTCCAGTGCAGCCCTGCTCCCAAGCCCCTGGTCTGCTGGGATCGTTCCCAGGGGTCTCACTCCAGATTGCTGCCACCAAGCCTGACCCCAGCTTAGGGATGGTGGAGGACAGGTACTAAGGTGGCTGGTGCTGTCTGGGTCAGGGCCATGGTGAAGGGGAGAGTGGGGTGCATCTTTGCATGTTCCTGCAGCAGTGTGTCCCAGCAAGGGGCTTGCTAGAATTGGAGCCAGAGCTCCAGCTCGCCGCCAAGAGCGGCTGAGGTAAGAGGGACCTGCTTCCCACGCTCCGTCCCGGGAGCTGCACACTGAAAGGATTTCCCAAACGGAGCAGAGTGTCACAGAGCATCATCTGGTCCCCTCCCGCCTGTACTTTGTCACGGGCAACTGACCTGGAGGGCTGGGGTCCCGGGTGATGCTGAAGCCTCGCTCAAGTTCCTGGCCCTCCGCGCAGTCCTCCTGGTACTCAGGCGGGTAGCAGCGAGGCTAGCGGGAGGTGATTTGCATTTAAAGAGAAAGTGGCCACTTTCGGCTGGAAGGTAGATGGAGGGGTGGCTCCGCTTGTTCTTCACTCAGCCCACCTCTCACTAAGGTGCCTGCTGGAGATGTAGTACTGATTCAGAAAAGTGTTTCCCTCCCCGGTTAGTTGGGGAGGGAGAGCACAGTCCTTACAAAATGGAGGTGGCTTTGTCAGGAGAAGGGGAGGTGGAAGGGAGGGCGAGGGGGGAAGGAGGAGGGGAGAGCGGGAGAGAGAGGCAAAAAGGGGGCATTCAAGTGTGTGAGAACGGGAAGAAGCAAGAGAAGACAACCATGTATCCAGGGCTTTTAAAATAAAAGTTTTTCCTGCCTAATTTTTATTAGTACATCTTTGCAGTTCACCATTACATTCATTATGGTGAGTTGGTACATGTACATAATACATAATTCATTTCACCCCCAGGCATTTTATATATATTTTAATCCCCATAACAACCCTGAAGCATCATTGTCATCGCTTCCATTTTACTGCAAGTCAAGTCATTCCAGGGCAGCACCACCGTGCCCAGCCATACACAGCTGTAGGTGGCAGGGTTCTCTATTCTGGCACTGAGGACGAGATAGGGCCCCTTCCCACCTCCCAGGTAGAAACAGGAGTGGGGAAAGCCAAGTCAGAGAGAGAACTCGCAATTGCCTGGCACCTGACTCCAGCGCGCAGGAGGGAAACCCGAGCACTGGGCAGGAGGCTCACCCAGGGCTGCATGGAAGGTCACATCTTCGAGGTAGCTATTTAAAGACTTGACAGCGGCTCCCAGCTCATGTCCCCAGAGCAGCATCTGATGCCACGGGAGAGGCTCACTCTTGGCCAGGCTGCCCAGCAGACACAGCCACGCAGCACCTCCTCCTCATACTGGGGTGAACACTTCCCAGCCCTGCCCTCTTGCTGAGGTGAGGGTGGCTTCTCTTCCCTAGGTATTTCCACCCTCCACAGTGCTTGGGAAGGGGAAATAATTCAGAACTTTTTTGAGGGAGGACAACAGAGAAGTCCCTGTCCTTTTCTACCAGAGCTGCTACAGTGGAGCCAAGGCTCCTGCGGAAAGTGGTGGAGGGGCTAGGAGAGCTGTGGGGTTTCCACCTTCAGTTGCTTTCCCTGGCATATTCTTTTTTTTTTATTTTAATGCTTTATTTATTTATTTATGTGTGTATGTGGCCAGCTCAGCCCACCCCCGGGGCGGGGCTGGCTGGTATGTGGTGCTGGGGGATTGAACCGTGGTCCCTGTGCTTTGCTAAGCTTGTTCTAAGTAGGTGCTTTAGAACAAGCTTAGCCATCTCACCACTGAGCCATCTCACCAGGTGAGCCCCCAAGTTTTATTCTCAGAGCTGCTTTGCATGCAAGTTCCAGGCGTTGGAGTGGCATCCCCTCACCCCTTCCAGAGGACCTTTGACTAGAACCAATGTGGCCAGCATGTTTATCAACCCTGGCTAGAAGGGGCAGCTCTGCTGGGACTATCCCCAAGTAGTGGGTGGACACATCGACTTGCATGGGTACAGTAAAAGTCACTTGTCTTGCCTCTGGCATTTGTTAGGCATCTACCATGTCCCACCTTTGTGTGTAACTGACGCCCGACGGAACAAGATGCTGGACTAGGCCATCCATAGTTTATCTCCCATATAAAGAAAATTTCAGCTTATTTCCCAATGAGTGAACTGGAGTAAGCAGCCAGCCAGTGTGGTCTTGTCAAGAGATACCTAAAACCCGACCAGCATGGCAGTACGTGCCTGTAATCCCAGCACTCAGGAGGCTGAGGCAGGAGGACTACCATGAATTTGAGGCCAGCCTGGGCTACAAAGTAAGCTCAAGGCCAGTGTAAACTACACAGGGAGACCCTGTCTCAAAAACAAAAAATCCCAACAAAACCCCAAAGGAACTTGAAAGTACTTGTTCATTTTTTGGGTGAGTCAGGGGGTCCTTCTTGCCCAACAGATCTGACCTGAAGATGTTTTGTTCTCCTAGATGAGGTCTTGCTATACAGTTCAGACTTGAACTCAAGTACTGGGATCACAGACATGTGCCAACACACCTGGCTGATTATTTTTGTCTTTTTGAGACAGGATGTTGCTATGCAGTTCAGCTGGCCTGGAGCTCACTTTGTAGCCCAGGCTGGTCTTGAACTCTTAACAATCTTTTTGCCTCAGCCTCCCAAGTGCAAGGATTACAGGCATGTGCTACCATGCCTGGCTGGGCTCATCATCCTTAACTTGGTGTACAAACTTCAGGTCTCCAACCTTGTTGCCACCCTATCTCTCCTGTATACCTGCATCCCACGTGAACTGTGCAATTACATGAAGTTGCTGAATTTTTGCCTGTCTTTTAGGCAAATAAGCCGCCTAGGTGTCCATTCTCTCCCTTGTCGAAGGCAGGGCCCTCCTCTGCTCTCATACCACCTTTTTTGTTGTTGTTGATTTGAGGTACTGGGGACTGAACCCAAAGCCTTCACACTGAGCTGTTAGTTTCCCTGTGTTGCCCGGGCTGAGCTAGCTTGGGATCCTCATGCCTCAGTTCCTACGGGCTGAGAATTACAGGCACACATCTTTACTTTTCTATACTGCTGGCCTTTTTCTACTCAAAGGCATATGCTGTTGGTCTGCCTGTGCTTGAAGGACCTTCCCCCTCTTCCTAGCCTGAGAGCCCCCTGAAGCCCACAGTAGTATCTATTACTTGAGCAGATCATCTTTCACGTTCTTCTGTAAGAGACATCTGCCCGTGCTGCGCTTGTGTGACTGCTGGAAGGCATAACAGCACTCTAGTAGATACAAGATGCAGGGCACAGCCATGCCACTTCACAGCAGATTCAGACAAGTCAGCAATGATGGAGGGAACCAAGTGGATCCAGACGCATCAAAAGGCCAGAGCTAGAACCCAAGACCATTACTCCAACATGCCCCTTCCTTAGAAAATCCTCTATGAACTGTGGTGGCCCATGCCTGTAATCCCAGCACACAGGAGGCTGAGGCAGGAGGATTGCCAGGACCATGTGTTTAAGATCAGCCTGACTACATGGTGAAATCTGGTCTTAGAAAAAAAAAAAAAAAAAAAAAAAGACGAGAGATTAGAACTGAAACATGTTAAGGCAACAGACTCTTTATTTAATATGGTTTAAAATACATCAATATCAAGTCCCTGGCTGTTGTGAATACCAAAAGGGAAGGGGAGCTGTCAGCACAACTTTTAAACAAGTTTGGGTGGCCAGGTGCGGCCATAAGGAAAGCAGTTACAGGAACAGAGGAACCCTCTCACCCAGGCAGATGCCCGGCTGTCCTGGGGCACCACCTCTGTGCTGTGCAGGGAAGGAGGGCTGGAGCAGCAGCTTGGCAGGCCTCAGCCTCTCCGTAGGTGCCATCAGGGTAGACCTGTTGGCCTCTTGGTCAACCCTCAGTAGGGCCACCAAGATGGAGATGGAGGAGGGATAAATAACTACAGAAATAACATTCTTACAGAAAGTGCCTGAGCTCAGCCCATGGTCCAAAAACCTCATGGAAAACAAATGGCAAATAAAAAGTGCTGCTGACACCTCTAGGAATCTGGTGTGCATGAAGCTCAGCTAGACAAGGTCCTGAACACGACTGTTAGCAGAGCTAGGGCTTTGGGCTCTGAGCCTCACTGTGGTCCTTGGAGGAAAAGCTAGCAATCTAAGAAACCAACACAGCTCTTGGTCCTAAAACTGAAGTCATGTGCACAGGACTCATCTGGGTGAGCAAGACTGGCTCTCACTCACAGATAGGCCACTCCCCCTAACCTCGCTAGGGTGGGCAGCACCCAAGCTGACTTTGGAAAGCAGAACAAGCAGAGCAGCTGTAGTGATTGGTGAGATTTGGTCAATGAATAGAAGAGAAAGTGATCCCCAGGAACAGATTGGCATGGGTATACAAAAATGGATGGAGCTGAGTGCCAACATTTTATCTGGTCTGGGGCTCACATTCCTGATATGGGGAGCCCAGCTGGGGCCACCTGCACACTGAAGCTTCCTGTCCTACCACCCTGGGACTCAACAGTTCCAAATCCCCCAGGGCTTTTTAAGAGGTAGCTGAAGTGAGGCAAGCAATTATGTGGGCCATTGTAGGCCTTTTCACTTCTCCAGGGGGGCAAGCGGATCTTTCTACGCCTCCACAGCCTAAGAAACCCTCTGTGCTATTTTTTTTTTTGGTGTGGATAATATGGGCTAATTTTTAATTAATTAGGTTTCATAGTACATTTTAGATATACATAATGATCACATTGGTCATAGGGAACTTGTACCTATATATTATTAAATAACTGTAAAACTTGATTTATTTTTCTTCCCTGTGGAATTGAGTTTTTGTTCTTCAGCCTGGCACAGGGCTGGGGGAGGCCTCACTGAGGCAGGAAGAAGGAACCATTCCAAGGGACGTCAAAGAGGGGAAGACAAAGATCTTGCAAAACATTTCTACATAGAAGAGTCTTAGCCAGGGATGGCAAAAGGGTCTCAACACTCAAACTGTTGCTGGGCATCTTAAGTAGCTCAGCAGAACCCTGCTTTCAAGACTCATTCTATTGCCCCAGAAAACTGCTCTGTCCAAAGAGTGACTAATACCCTTCCATGTGTGGAACAGGGGTTTTAGCACAGAGGTGCTACACACAGTACATAGTGATAATGTTCTAGGTCAGGTAGTGGGACAGAAAGGACTATCTGCAGCTTTTTTTAAAGTAGAATTCCTGGGCTCAGAGTATTGCAGAATTCTGTTTTGTCAAGATAATAGCTGAGGGCTTCCACAAAGGAAGATTTCCAAGGAGGACTCTTACTTCTTGGGCAAAGAGGTGAAGAAATGTGAATTGGGACGATCCTCAAGGACTGCACATTGGGGTGTGAGTTTAGGGTGCAGGAAACAGAAAAAGAACCATAAAGCCCAGGGTGCAATAGGACCTGGAGCCCAGCAATTGCTGCACGGAGATGGTAGCAATGGGAATCTATGGTGGCCTCCCAGGACTAAGGCTCACAGGCAAGCTCATGGCAAAGCCATTAGCAGCCCTTCTTTCTCTTAGTCTGATCTTCCCTTTCAAAAAGGAAACCTCAGCACCAACATGGCTAAAAAGCCAGGTGGGGTGGTGAGGGGGGAGCAACACTGGAGGCTAGGCATCCAGGACCATGACTCCAACATCCTTCTTCCTCAGAAAATCCTCGTATGAACTGTCACGTGCAAAACAAAATGCCTTCAGAAAGAATCCTTTGGATGATCTCTTGCCAATCACTTGTGCAGGCTAGAGAGGCACCTGTGAATGATAAGGCTACTGAGAAGCAACATTGGCCTGGTCCTGGAACTGCAGGAGGGCAGGGGACGCAGTGCCCCGGTGGCTCCCAACCAACACATCATCCCAGAGTGAAACATTCGCCAGGTCCCATGCCCTAGGCTCTGTGTGCCATGCAGAGGCTCTGCAGAGGAACAGCATTCCCAGGCTGAGAAGCAACGACCTCTGTGAGAGCCAGAAAAGCTGCTCAAGCCCTGCTCACCGCAGAGTGCAATCCAGAACTGGGTATATTACTTGTCATAAGCTCTGAAGGGCTGGGAGGGGTCTGAGCCTCAAATTGGGCAAGAAATGTTCAAGTCACTTGCCCTTCCAGCTCACTGTGATGGCAGCTACAGATGACACCTCCTCTGTAACTCTTCAGATTAGAGGAGCACTGACTTCATCCGTACACCCACCTTCAACGCAAGCCCTCTGCACTTAGAGATGTAAATGCACGAGGCCTTGCACATATGCACTATGTATGTAAAACTGACCCATAAAATCCAAAGTTGCAGAGTGCAGAGGCCTATCACGTCAGAACACCCTGACTTCAGCACTGGCTGTTTTGTGTGGGAGCCTTGTACAGGCCAGGCCTGGCTGGGGTGCTGCTCCCTTCCCAGCATGCCTCAAGCACCAGGCTCCCTAGGTGGTGGCAGAGGTGGGCTCCTGAGGCCCTGTTGTTTCTGTGCTTGTTCCTGGGCAGCCAGGAGCTTCCAGGGCCCTTGAGGAGCTGGGTGCTTGAGCCCCGGGCCCCTCACTGCTCTGCTCTTTGGCTGCAGTGGCAGCCTCTGGCCTCCGCTCAGGACCACTGTCAGTGAGGGGGCTATGGCCACCAGCACTCAGGCCCTGTACCCTTTTGTTCAAGTCATTGCGCTCTGTCTGTAGTGCCCGGCACAGCTTCTCCAGTCGTTGGATTTTCACCTGCAGACCCTCCAGCTCTTTGTCCCGCAGAGTTTTCTAGGGAGAGAAATGGGGCCTTCAGGGTTGTCCCAGCAATTCTTCACCTTACCACCACTTGGTGGGAGACACTTCAGTAAGACTGGGAGCAGCCTAGAGTTAAAACCTCTTAGGAAACAGCCCTGGTTTAAGGGGTTTGGGGGGTAGGAGTGCAGTACAGAGATAGGCATGGCCTGCAGGCCACCCAATGCATTCCTGTAGTCATTTAGCAGGTGATGGTGGCTAAGCATGAGGCTTTTGAGTCTATCTCATCTGTAAAACAGGATTACTAACATCAGCCACCAGTCTCAAGGTCCACCAAACCAGCACATCTAAAACATCCAGCAAGCCTGTAGTCACTCTACCAGTACCAGTTTCTTTATCTTATAGCACAAGTCATGAAATGACAAATTACTGGGTTGCTCTATATGCAAACCTCATGCATTGTCAGCAGCCCAGTTTTTCCTACTCCTTTAGACCTTTCTTCCATCTTCTCCCTGGGTTCCATGCAGGCTACCATGGGGTTTGTCCCCTCCTATGGCAGACTTCTGATATCAGAGATGCATGAACACTCTAGGTCACTTCATGCAAGCAATTATCACTGACTACCAGAAAGGAGAAAGGACCTGATACACAGCACTGGTGTCTCCCTGGCCCAGGGCCAGTCACCCTGTACCCACCTCCTCGGCCATCTCAAGTAAGGCCTTGTTGCTGCTTTCCCACCGGGACCGGTACATGGTGGTTTCTTTTTCTAGTTTCTTGATCTTCTTAGTCATCTGGGTTACACGGTAGGTGGAAAGAAATGGTCAGAGCTGAGCTGTCCATGCATCTGTATCTTCCATATCTGTGCAACTCTGCCCCTGGGAAGTCTCAAGTTAAATGGTTCCCGCCTGGGCTAGGAGTGGAGCTCAGGGGCACGGTGTGTCCTTTGCATGGACAAGGCCCTGACTTTGACTCTCAACACCAAAAAAAAAAAAAAAAAAAAAAAAAGAAAGAAAGAAGAAAAAGCCAACACTATCAACAATGACAAGAGACTACCCCTTATCTGGGGAAAAAGCTGCGATCCCTCTTACCAGCCCCTTTTTGATAGCAATCATACTTTCTGTGAACAACTTCCTGTGAGACACTGTGGGTTGGGGCCTTACAGCAGACCCCAGTTCACTTTTTTTTTTTTTTGGAACTGGGGATTGAACTCAGGTCCTTGCACTTGCCAGGCAAGCGTTTATTCTACTGAGACATCTCCCCAGCCCCCCTTTTTTTCTTTTTGAGACAGAGCCTCACTATGCAGTTCAGGCTAGCCCTGAGCTCACTTTGTAGCCTAGGCTGGTCTCAAACTTGAAATGATCCTCCTGCCTCAGCCTCCCGAGTGCTGGGATTACAGGTGTGTACCACCACACCCAGCTGTCCCACGTTCAATTCTGAATGAGATCTAGCTGCCATACCCAGCTTAGATCAATAGTACCTTTTCCATCTCCTGTTTGAATGTGGTGAATACCTCGCTGCTTTTGGAAAGTGTGTTCTGGAACTCTTCAAACTTCTCTGTGTATAGGGCGAGCTGTGGTAGACAGAAGTCGACAGGTGAGATTGGGCTTCTCTAGTCAATACTCTTGATCTTTCCTTGGCCTTCTGACACAATTCTATAGACACCACTTTCTGAAAACCTTTGGACTTTTTGACACAGGGTCTGGCTATCCATTCAGGCTGTCCTCATACTTAGCAATCCTCCTGCTTCAGCCTCCTGAGTACTGGGATCACAGACATGCACCATGCACCACCCATTTTTATTTAATTTATTTAGTTTTTGGACAGGGTCCTGCTATGCATCCAGGCTGGCCATTACTCACTATAGATCCCAAGCTGGCCTCAATCTTGTGGGGTTACAAGCATGCACCACACCTGGCCAGAAAAACATGTATTTTTTTTTTTTTTTTAAAGGGAAAGGCCTACAGGGTGTTCAGGGACTCGCTACTAGATTGGACTCATAGTTACTCTCCTGTTTACAGCCTCCCAAGTGCTGGGATTACAGGCACGTGCCACCATGTCCGGGGATGGAACCCCTGGCCCCTGTACCTGCTGGCAGGTGCTTTAATCTGCTGAGCTATTTGACTGGCCCTCTAGAAAAACATGTATTTGGTAGACTACAACCTTAAGTTTTATATCCCTTAGAATGAGGCCCAGGGAAGGAAATTTTGGAGGCTCAGGGTCAGTTCCACACCATCTTACCTGCTGTTTCAGGTGGGTCTCCTGCTGCTTCATCAGTTCACACATCCTCTGGGATTCCACTGCCTCTTTCAGGAGCTAATTTCAAGACATGACCCCAGAAACCCCGTGGGCTGTTAGGTCCTCTTTAACCACAAGCAGTGGACCCACTGAGGGTACCTGCTCTCAGACTGCTGCCTGGGCAAGCAGTGACTGGCCTGGCCAGACAGCAATCATTTTTTTTTTTTTAATGAGGGTCTACAGGGTCTCACTACACAGACTGGACTCGTAGTGATCTTCTTGCTTTCTCCCAAGTGCTGAGATTACAGGTGCTCACCACCACGCTCATTCTCAGACAGTAATCATTTTATCCACATGAATTCAACTTTAAGCTAAGCAAGAACCCAGCCCTCATTCCTGTACTCCCAACCCCAACCCAGGGGCCTGAGCCTCACAAAGTCCTTCTCCCGCTGGTGCCGCTCCTCTGCCTCCTTCAGCATCTCCTGGGCTTGTTGGAGCTTGGCATCCACCAACTGCTGCTGGAGGTCCTTGTGTTTGAAGACTTTATCAATGTGCTGTAGGAAAGAGGGTGGGAAGGGGCTGTTTGTCAGGGGCTCCTTTTCTTATGGAGCCCTCATGTGCAGGGAGGTTCCAACTGTGGGGACCAGAACACCTTACCCAGCCCCTGGGCTAGACTCCCATGTGCACCACAGGGTATGGGTCTTATGTCCGTGGAAGGTCAACTTTCTAACTTTGCATGTCTTTTTCTCCCAGAGAATCAGACCTGGACAAGCACCAGGATGTATGGGTGGAATTATTTCCCAGGATGCCAAGCAATCAACACATTGAAACATCTGGTCCAGAGATGAACCACCCAGGGTTTTGGGATTAGTACAGCATGCAGTACCGGGGATTGAACTTGGGTCCTTGTGCTTGCCAGTCAGGCACTTAGACCACTGAGCTATCTCCCCAGCAAGCTCATTGCTGTTTTCACAGTAATGAACTGCTGCCTTCTGCCATGCCACTCTGCCTTGGAGCCAACCGAGTATAGACTGAAATCTCCACTGTGAGCTAAATAAACCTTTCCCTCCTTAATTTTGGATGTCAGGTATTTTGTCCCAGCAATGAGAGAAAAGTAATTGAGACAGGGAATCTGATTTCTTCACACACACCACCCCCCCAACCAGGGATTGAACTCAGGCCCTTGCCAGGCAAGCGCTTATTCTACTGTACTGAACTATCTCCCTGGCCCCTGATTTCTCTTTTTGATGGAGAAGGAAAGGTTTCTTGAAGAAAGGTCCTGTTGCCTTTGTCTAAGGTTCAGAGGCTCAGAAGTAGCAGGTGGTAGCATCCAAACCCGAGGAGAACTGTAAGTAAGAAACTACAGGGCCTAGTATTAGATCCACAACCTGTTCCTCTTCCACAGATAGCATCAAGTCCTTTCTGCTTTCAGTGAAGGAGAAGGGGAGAGAAAAAGAAAAAGGGCAGGGGTGGGGAAGAGGGCCTTCAGATGTTTAGAATTAGTATCTCACTCTAATGGCCAGAAAGTTTTTATGTCTCTCTGCTAAGAGATAAGAACCAAACCAATTCTTCCCAAACCAAATACATCACAGGGAACTTTGTTCCCAAAAGATGAAAAAAAAAAAAGGTGGTCAGGGAATCCCTTTTAGGCCCTGCACACATCTGATCACCACACTGGCCTGTGAACTCAAGAGGCAGAGTCTTGTCTGTCTCACTTTGGCCCTAGGAAGGGACCTGGTTCACAGCAGGTTGTCTGTCAGTCCTGTGAGGTACCTGTATTCCTCCTAATAGTTCCAGAACATCCAGGTGACTAGCACAAGGGATTCAAAGATTCAAGTGCCTGGATTAGTGGCCAATGCTGGCTAAGGTGGCAACACTCTGTTCTTTCAAGTGTTAAGAACAGCCAGCAATCAGTGGACAGCTCTGAAGTCCACAGATTTAGCTCCTCCTCTCTAATTTTTCTATTTTATTTTTGTTTTTATGAGACAGGATTGTCCTATGTAATGCAGGCTGGTCTCGAACTCACAGCATTCCTCCTGCCTCAGACTCTCAAGTGCTGGGATGGTAGGCATGGGTCACTACATCCAGCTTCCTCTAATAAAAAAAAAACAAAGACAGGGTCCTGGGAGAGAGCTCAGTAGAATAAGCACTTGCCTGGCAAGCGCAAAGGCGTGAGTTCAATCCCTGGTTCCACCAAAAAAACAAAAAAAAAGAACAAAAACAAAAACAAAACTTTTTTTCTTTTTTTTGCGGTACTGGGGATCAAACATAGGACTTTGCGCTTGCCAGGCAGGCACTTATGCTGCTGACCTACATCCCCAGCCCTAAGAAATCTTTTGGGCCAGGGAGATGGCTCAGTAGAATAAGTGCTTCCCTGGCAAGCTCAAGGGCCTAAGTTCAATCCCAGGTTCTGAAGGAAAAAAAAAAAAAAAAATCTTCTTTTAATGGTACTGGCAATTGAGCCATGCTAGAGTGTCCTACCACTGGGTTATATCCCCAGTCCTCTAAAAAAATCTTTATTGAGGCAAGGCCTTGTTAAATTGCTCAGTCTGGGCTTGAACTTCAGTCCTTTTGTGTCAGTGTCCTGAGTGAGTACCTGGGACCATAGGTGTGCCTCACCATGACTAGCTTGTAATTCCAAGTTCTATAAAGGTCATAAACTAGCAGCCAAACTTCACCTGCAATACTGTGAAACTTTTTTTTTTTTAAAAACTATCTATAATACAGGTGAGTACAACAAAATTTCACTGCCTAATATTGTGTCTCATTTGGAGGTGATCCACCAAGACCATGCTGGATTGCAATGTAATACAGAGTATGTTTACATACCACCATTCTAAATTTGGACAACTCTAATTCCGACAGATACCTGGCTCAATTGTTGGGGACAAGGCTCTGCTGACTGTGTGGCTGTAGGTGAGTTTCTTCTCAGTTCCTCATTTATGACAGATGGTATTGGACTCTTCTCAAGGAAGAAGGGACAGGATGAAGCCTGCAGAGAGCTCTCTGGTGCCCAGCACCCACCCAGAGCCACACAGTCTGCTGCTCACAACCCCTGTCTGCAACAACCTTACCTCTTCACGCAGCTCATATTGCTCAATCAGCTTTTTGAGCCTCTCGGCCAACTCCATATTCTCTTGGCGCAGCTTGGAATTGCGCTCGTTATGTTGTTCCATCTGCAGCTGAATGTCATTCAGTGTCACCTGGAAGTGCGAGGTCACCTCTTTGCGCTTCTCCTCTTCCTCCCGGGCCCGCTGTACGCCTTCTTCCTGGGCAGAGAAGCCAGCCCCAGCGACATCATCCACTGTTCCCCAGCCAGCTGCACAAGGCTCCCCCAACTAGTCACAGGTGGTCTCTGCCAACAGCCTCCCTGCTCCCAAAGTGAGGAGCAGTCATGCAGTGGGATTCCTAATGCACCCCCTGTAAATCGGTGCATCCTGTGAGATTCTCTCTCTAGAAAAATGCATGTACATATGTTAAGTGCCATTCTGATGCATCTTAGATCTTTATTCATTCTTCCAGATCTCAGATTAAGTGTCCTATTCTGATGTGCTTTTGTCTTTCCTTTCTCCCTACCTACCAGGTTGTTAAAATTTAGTAATATCCAGGATTGTGCAAAATTAGGTAACGAGACATTGCTAAGAGTATGCCTTGAAAGGCAATCTTGAAAAATCTTTTAATAGTTAAAACTCGCATACTCATTAACCTAGTCCTTGACTTGGGATTTACTCTACATGAAAATATATACCAAGATTGTTTACAAGTCTACATGTAATAGTGAAAATTGGCAAACAACCCTAAAGTACAGTATCTTAATCTACCTAATAATGCTGTTACAAAGTGAGACAGCCCAAGCCAGGTGTGGTGGTGCATGCCTGTAATCCCAGCATTCCAGAGGCTGAGGCAGAAGGATGAAGGATTGTTGCAAGTTTGAGACCAGCTTGGGCTACAAAGTGAGCTCAAGGCCAGCTTAAACTGCATAGTGAGACCCTATCTCAGACAAAAGGAAAAATGAAAAGAGAGAAAGAAGGTAAAGCACCTGCAAGCAGGCACAGGGGCCAGGGGTTCGATCCCTGGGCCTCCAGTGCTGGCCCCAGCCCCAGGGTACATTGAGCTGGCAATTGAGACTAAGTGTGGTGGCACACTCCTGTAATCCCAGCCTCTTAGGAGGCTGTAAACAGATGGATCACTATGAGTCTGATCTAGAATAAGTGCCTGCCTGGCAAATGCAAGGTCCTGAGTTCAGTCCGTGGTACCACAATCCGTGGTACTGCAAAATAAATAAATAGGGGCCGGGGAGATGGTTCAGTGGAATAAGCGCTTCCTGGCAAGCGCAAGGGCCTGAGTTCAATCCCTGGTTCCGCAAAAAATAAATAAATAAAAATAAATACCTGCTTATAAAACTAATTTATATTATGTTTTTAAAGATAAACATGAGCTAAGGGGCTGGGGAGATGGCTCAGTGAAATAAGTGCTTGCCAGGCAAGCGCAAGGGCCTGAGTTCAATCCCCAGTTCCACAAAAAAAAAAAAAAAAAAGATAACATGAGCTAAAAATACGCAAAAGATTATGTATGTTCACAAACTCAAATATTGTATGAACCATGTAACTTTTAAGGATATAGTCATGAAAAACCATCTGGAAATCACGGCAATGACTAGGCTTTAACCACAGACTAAGAGAAGCACATCAGGCGAAGAAGCCAGGTACTTCTCTAGAACAAGAACTAGGTATCTGCTTACTAGGTACTACAGTTTGGATATTTATTTAATAATACTGGGGACTGAACCCAGGGCCTTCACAATGAAATGTTCCCCAGAACGTTTTATTCATTATTTTGAGACAGACTTTCACTAAGCTGTTAAACTGTCCAGACTGGGCTTGAACTTGTGATCCTTCTGCCTCAACCTCCCAGAGTACTGATTGCAGGTGTGCACCACTACTTCTGGCTTATAGTTTGGATCTTAAGTGTACCATAAAAATTTATATAATAAAGATTTGGCACCTAGCACAGCATTCTTGGGAGGTGGTTGGACACTCAAGAGATGGGACTTAGATGTTTTTATGGTAATTAAAGGTGTGTCCTTAAAGGGAAACATGGTACGCAGTTCTCTTTCTATCCCTTTCAAATGCCAGCCATGAGATGGTTTTGCTCTGGTACATGCTCCCACCATATCGCTTGGCTGTCCCCATCTAGAGGCCTAAAAAATATGGGTATATCCTGGTATGAATTGGAACCTCTACAATTGCGAGCTAAATTTAATTGTTACACAATGGAAAATGAACACCAGGGCCCACTACCCAAGTGAGGCTACTATATTTACGGTGCCTTCAGCACCTTAGCCTTTAACTTGTAGTTAATACAAGAACAAATCAAATGGGTACAGCAGTCTTCTCCAAGTCAGTACGTTACTGGGGAATCTATTTCTATACCGAAAAGACCAGTGATGTCTAAGGAAACCAGAGCTGCTCCTGACCCTGGGCCTACCTTGAGGGAGCGGTTGTGCCGCTGCAGCTCACGGCACAGGCTCTCAAGCTTGCTGCGGGCCAGGATGGCCTTGCTGTGCTCTCCACGCAGGTGGTCCTTCTCCTGTACCAGCTGGCTCTGCTTCTTCTGCAGGAGCTTCATCTGTTTCTGAGAAGTCCGGTGTTCCTCCAGCTGGGGACAGGGAGGGCAGTGAGTGCTCGGAGGGCCCTGCATGGTGATCCTATGTGGCTCTAGGGACTTTGGAGCTGGGATGAGCACTGGCCTTTCCCAGCTGAAACAGCTTAGGCCTGATGCACTCTCACAAGCTGACAGTGCTAATGTGTTATGCAGCCCTCCCAAAAACTTTGTGCTGGGGCCGGGGAGATGGCTCAGTAGAATAAGCGCTTGCCTGGCATGGGCAAGACCTGAGTTCAGTCCCCGGTTCTGCCAAAAAAAAAAAAAAACTCTTTGTGCTAACCCGAGAACGCAGGGCAGAAATACAGGTATGGACACTCACTAGGACAAGGATAGTAACACAGCCAGCAGATTCCACTTTCTACCCCAGCCCTGACCAAAGGGACAGGGCTTTCTAGCCATGTCAGACCATGGTATGACTCCATCTTGCAGGATACTCACAACCCCAGGATAAGCCACTCAGGGCTATTCACACCTGGTCTGGCCTTACATTCCTAGCAGATGTCAGCTATGGCTCACCATTACTTTCTCCATTATGATTCTTACTTTCATTATTGGTTTTGGTTTTTTTTAATTTATTTAGTTCAGGGTCTACAGGGTCTCACTATACAGATCAGACTTGTAGTGATCCTCCAGTTTTCAGCCTCCCAAGAGCTGGGATTACAGGCACACGCATATCACCATGCCCAGTTTCAAATTTTTGAGACAGGGTCTGGCTCTGCAGTCCAGGCTGGCCCTGAACTAGGTAACCCAGTGAGTTATATAGTGACTATGGCCTTGAACTCCTGGTGATCCTTCTGTCTCAGCCACCTGAGTTCTAGGATTATAGAAGGATGCCACCATGCCTAGCTTATTGTTTGCTATTTTTGTGAGACAGGGTCTTGCTGTCTTGGCTAGTATGGCTAGTTTAATACTGATGGAAAATCCTGACTCCATCCTGCTCTTAGTCCTTAACTTCTTCCACAAACCCACTCCTTTTCTCCAGCATGGTCCCCTCCTATGATCTTATCTATTCTTTTTTATTTATTTATTTATTTTTATTTATTACATTTATTTATTGTGTGTGTGTGTGTGTGTGGCCAGTTCAGCCCACCAGGGGGCGGGGCTGGCTGGCATGTGGTGCTGGGGGATCGAACCGCGGTCCCTGTGCTTTGCCAAGCTTGTTTCAAGT